GTTACGGCTGGTGGACCAGCCTTCTTCGGAGGATTTCCACTTACATCCTCACGAAGAAGGCTGGTCCACCAGCCGAAACTGTTAGGATTAATAAATAAGTATTTTATTGTTTGTTTCCTTACTGCACTATTCTCGAAGTTTATAACTATATATATATATATATAGATATATATATATATATATATATATATATATATATATATATATATATATATATATATATATATATATATATATATAATATATATATATATATGTACTCGGGGAAGAGCAGCGATGGCATAGTGGTTAGAGCATCTGCCTCGCATGCAAAAGGTCCGTGGTTCAAATCCCGGTGCCGTGCAGCTCCCAACCGGATAAAAAAAATCCGCGTGGTGATGGAACTGCATTACGAGGCCTGGGGTGCGGCCTCACCGGTAACCACCACCGGGAACGCACTCCCTCACCAGAGAAGGATTGGCCATCCTGGTGCTGTATCTGGCCACTACCTCCCACATGCATACGTCAAATAACTCACGGCCCTCAGTCCCCAGGAGCTGCGAAGCAACTGACCACGGTGGCGGTCAGATCTGCAACGCAGCAGAGGGTGCTAAGAATCTCTGGATCCGGACAGGCCGCCATTGGAACTTCAACTTGGCAATGTTTAACGCTAGAACCTTATCTAGTGAGGGTCTAGCTGTACTGTTCGAGGAGCTGGAGGGTGTTCAATGGGATATAATAGGGCTCAGTGAGGTTAGGAGGACAGACGAGGCCTATACGGTGCTACAGAATAGGCATATTTTTTGCCATTGGGGCTTGGCTGACAGAAGAGAACTAGGAGTGGGGTTCCTAATTCACAGAAACATAGCGGACAACATAGAGGAATACTATAGCATTAATGAAAGGGTGGTAGGTATCGTAATTAAACTGAATAAGAGATACAAGATGAAGATGACGCGCCCACATCCAGCCATGATGACGCTTCAGTTGAAAGCTTCTATGAAGACGTATGATCGGCAATGAGTAAGGTAAAAACCCAGTACACTATGTGATGGGCGACTTTAATGCAAAGGTAGGGAAGAAGCAGGCTGGAGACCAGGCAGTACGAGATTATGGCATCGGCACTAGAAACGCCAGGGGAGAGCTACTGGTAGAATTCGCAGAACGCAATAATTTACAGATTTTGAATACCTTCTACCGAAAACGAAAAAACCGCAAGTGGTCATGGAGGAGCCCTAATGGCAAAAATAAGAACGAAATAGACTTTATACTGAGTGCACACCCAGGCATCGTGCAGGATGTGGAAGTGGTTGGCAAGGTACGATGCAGTGACCATAGAATGCTACGGTCTCGAATTCGCCTAGATTTGAGGAAGGGACGACAGAAACTCATACGCAAGATGCCGATCAGTGAGCTAGCACTGAGAGGGAAAGTAGAGGAATTCAGAGTATCGCTTCAGAACAGGTACTCGGCTCTTAGTGAGGAAACCAACCTTAGCATAGATACAATGAATGATAATCTGACGAGTATCATTACGGAGTGTGCAGTGGAAGTTGGAGGCAGGGTACTTAGACAGGACACTGGCAAGCTTTCCCAGGAAACGAAGAATCTCATTAAGAAGCGTCAAATCATGAAAGTCTCAAGTACAACAGACAAAATAGAACTGGCAGAGCTTTCGAAGTTGATTAATAGGCGTAAGGTATCCGATGTAAGAAGGTATAACACGGAGAGAATTGAACACGCTCTGAAAAACGGAGGAAGCGTCAAAGCAGTAAAGAGGAAACTTGGGACAGGCAAAAATCGGATGTATGCACTAAGGGACAAAGAAGGCAATATAACTACCAATATGGATAGGATAGTTAAAATAGTGGAGGAGTTTTACAGAGATCTGTACAGTAGCCAGGACAACCACGACTTTAATACTATAAGAACTAGCAGTAAGCCAGAATGACACCCCACCAGTAATGATAGAAGAAGTCAGAAAAAGCTTTGGAAAGCATGCAAAGAGGCAAAGCTGCTGGTGAGGATCAGGTAACATCAGATCTGCTGAAAGATGGAGGAAAAATTGTGTTAGAAAAACTAGCCACCCTGTTTACGAGGTGTCTCCTGACGGGAAGGGTACCAGAGTCTTGGAAGAACGCTAACATCATCTTAATACATAAGAAAGGAGATGACAAGGACTTGAAGAATCACAGGCCTGATTAGCTTGCTCTCTGTAGTATACAAGCTATTTACAAAGATAATTGCTAACAGAGTGAAGAAAACATTAGAATTCAATCAATCAAAGGAACAAGCAGGATTTCGAACAGGCTACTCAACAATAGACCACATTCATACTATCAATCAGGTAATAGAGAAATGCTTAGAATATAACCAACCACTATACATAGCTTTCATAGATTACGAGAAGGTGTTTGATTCAGTAGAAATATCAGCCGTCATGCAGACGCTGCGGAATCAAGGCGTCGATGAAGAATATATATAGACATCCTGGAAGAAATCTACAGGGGATCAACTGCTACCATAGTGCTTCATAAAGAAAGCAACAGAATACCAATCAAGAAGGGTGTAAGGCAGGCGGACACAATCTCCCCAATGCTATTTACCGCGTGCCTACAGGAGGTTTTCAGAAGCCTAGAATGGGAACAGTTAGGGATAAGAGTTAATGGAGAGTACCTTAGTAACCTGCACTTCGCCGATAACATTGCATTGCTGAGTAACTCAGGGGACGAATTCCAACTCATGATTACGGAGTTAGACAAGGAGAGCAGAAAGTTCGGTCTTAAAATGAATCTGCAGAAAACGAAAGTAATGTACAACAATCTCGGAAAAGAGCAGCGTTTCGAAAGGTAATAGTGCAATTCAAGTTGTAAAAGACTATGTCTACTTAGGGCAGGTAATAACCACGGAGCCGAACCACGAGGATTGAAGTAACTAGAAGAATAAGAATGGGGTGGAGCACATTTGGCAAGCACTCTCAAATTATGACAGGTAGATTGCCACTATCCCTCAAGAGGAAGGTATACAACAGCTGTATCTTGTCGGTACTTAACTACGGAGCAGAAACCTGCAGACTTACAAAGAGGGTTCAGCTTAAATTGAGGACGACGCAGCGATCAATGGAAAGAAAAAATGGTAGGTGTAACCTTAAGAGACAAGAAGAGAGCAGAGTAGATTAGGGAACAAACGGGGGTTAAGGATATCATAGCTGAAATCAAGAAGAAGAAATGGACATGGGCCGGGCATGTAGCGCGTAGACAAGATAACCGCTGGTCGTTAAGGGTAACTAACTGGATTCCAAGACAAGGCAAGCGGGTTAGAGGGAGACCGGAGGTTAGGTGGGCAGATGAGATTAAGAAGTTTGCGGGTATAAATTGGCAGCAGCAAGCACAGGACCGGGTTAACTGGCGGAACATGGGAGAGGCCTTTGTCCTGCAGTGGACGTAGTCAGGCTGATGATGATGATATATATATATATATGTTCTCTTAACGAGGGTCTCGTACTGGCAGACGTGGTGCCTCTAGGTTGTATACGGGGTACTATTGGTCAGCTGCCAGTTAGTAATAAGTTCACGTGCTACGTGACGCCAAACAGGCTCATAAAAGAGTGTGCCGCACTCACCGCCATGGCTACTAGTGGCGCTGACTGACACTCCCACGTTTAAATTGACATAGATACCCAATAAAGTGGCTGGGGGGATAGCTGTCGTGGTAGCTCAGTGGTAGAGCATCGAACGCGTTATTCGAAGGTCGCAGGTTTGGATCCTGTCCACGGCAAGTTATCTTTTCACCCACTTTTCTTTCTTCTCATATACATTACAATTAGCCTATTAACTTCCCCTATACCTTCCTTGGCATTATTGTCTGTTAGATCTCATTATTATTGTGTAAAACACGAAAAACGAGCCCTTAAGTGTACACTTGTTTCCCTTATTCATTAACGAGGGTCTCGTACTGGCAGACGTGGTGCCTCTAGGTTGTATACGGGGTACTATTGGTCAGCTGCCAGTTAGTAATAAGTTCACGTGCTACGTGACGCCAAACAGGCTCATAAAAGAGTGTGCCGCACTCACCGCCATGGCTACTAGTGGCGCTGACTGACACTCCCACGTTTAAATTGACATAGATACCCAATAAAGTGGCTGGGGGGATAGCTGTCGTGGTAGCTCAGTGGTAGCGCATCGAACGCGTTATTGAAGGTCGCAGGTTTGGATCCCTGTCCACGGCAAGTTATCTTTTCACCCCACTTTTCTTTCTTCTCATATACATTACCAATTAGCTATTAACTTCCCCTATACCTTCCTTGGCATTATTGTCTGTTAGATCTCATTATTATTGTGTAAAACACGAAAAACGAGCCCTTAAGTGTACACTTGTTTCCCTTATTCATTAACGAGGGTCTCGTACTGACAGACTTGGTGCCTCTAGGTTGTATACGGGGGACTATTGGTCAGCTGCCACTTAGTAATAAGTTCACGTGCTACGTGGCGCCAAACAGGCTCATAAAAGAGTGTGCCACACTCACCGCCATAGCTGCTAGTGGCGCTGACTTACACTCCCACGTTTAAATTGACATAGATAGCCAATAAAGTGGCTGGGGGGATAGCTGTCGTGGTAGCTACGTGTTAGAGCATCGAACGCGTTATTCGAAGGTCGCAGGTTCGGATCCTGCCCACGGCAAGTTATCTTTTCACCCACTTTTCTTTCTTCTCATATACATTACAATTAGCCTAATAACTTCCCCTATACCTTCCTTGGCATTATTGTCTGTTAGATCTTATTAATATTGTGTAAACACAAAAAACGAGCCCTTAAGTGTACACTTGTTTCCCTTGTGTATATATATATATATATATATATATATATATATATATATATATATATATATATATATATATATATCCGGGACATGACGTCGACGACAAAAATTAGCCAAGAGTGTCTATATAATTCTTAACGCAATAAAAGGAGGCTGCAAGGCAAGAAGACTCATGCACTGCGGGTAGTGGCAGGTGGCCCACCTTCGCGTTCTCGAAGATCTCACGCAGCTCGCGTGCCACAGTTTGGTCGTAGAAGAATGCCGCTTCGGAGGCGCCGTACTGAGGCGGGAACAGCTTGGCGCCAAGCAGTGTGCAGCTGAGGGCCTCCTCGTACGTCTTCTGCGAGCCGGTCACCAGCCTCAGGTACTCGTCGAAGAACATCACCAGCAGGTAAAGGTTGGCAGTCTCCCGCTTTTCCGCCTGCAGCGCGGCCTCCGCCTGAGAGATAACGTCTCCATGGAAGATGGTCGCCTCTACATTGTGCTTAAGGTTCACCTGTGGAGACCAACTCAAGTAAGCAAATGTTTAGTCAAGATGAAGATGTATTACGTGTATGCGTACAGTGTTATATGTTAATAAACTGCCCGATTTTGTCCGACCCGTTCATTTGGTTCTGATTTTTTTGTGGTAAAACTTGGTCACCTCCCGCCTCTTTTTTTAACACGAAAGTGTAAAAAGAGTCCACCACGGCTCTGCTGACATACTTCCGTCATGGAAGGGACGTTGAAAAATGTGTACTACGACATTGCAAAGAAAAAACAAGGAGGCAAATATCTGTCGTGCGGAATCAAACAAGCAACCTCTCGTTTTCCAGCACGCGGCGCTAACCACTACGCCACAGAGGGTACGTTGTGCGGTAGACTAAGGGCAAGCTATTTATGTGCACCATGCATTGTTTGGCACTCTTCAGAGCTTCGAAACTTAAGCACTTTTTCGTTATGAGTGGCGAGATAGCGCGACAGGCTCGCGTTGAGCGTGCTTTCAAAACGGACAGATGGACGGACGGACAGATATATCCGTCTGTGTCTTAAATTACACGGCAACTCACGCCACTTAGCCATAAAGTTAAGTACTATCACTGTGTGCAGGATTGAAATTCACTCGCGCCTTGATTGTAGCCACCAATGAATTAGCCTCCTCCTGGTTATTTAACCCTTTTAAAGTCTATTTCGCCTTAACTGTCCCTAAACACCAAATGCTTTGAAAACATTCCGCGTCATTATATTGGAATATAGCGTAGAGCTCTTTACAAAACATTATCAACTATTCAGCCGTTTCCTCTTCCTTTCCACACGCACCACATAGCGTGTCTGTGCCGTCATTTTGGCTCGGTACGCCTTGGTCCGCAATACTCCCGTTCTGGCCTCGAGCGGTAGGGAACTACCCCAAAAATTATCGTAGATTTTTTCTGCTTGAATGTTCGGTAGGTCTCCAATGATGATTTTGTAAGCATTCTAATTTTCTACATGCCACTGTCTGTCCCCTTCTCCTTCTTCACCGATGTTTCCTTTTGGCTTGGTATTCTGCTTTTGTCTAAATAGTTGCTTGACAATTTTCGAGTTCGCTTCCTTCCTTTTTCATGTACAAGTAGCTAAAAACTTCCGTAGCCCAACGCTAATTTGCCATTTTTCTCAATCGCTCCTCAAATTTTATCTTGCTGGAAACTTCCTGCACTTGAACGATGTCCATCCCATGTCACCCTCTACCCCCTGATTAGGAGTGCTCCTGTGTGCTCCAAAAGCAAATCTACCTATGCCATTACAGGGTTAATTTTCAATCTTTATTGAACCTTTGATTTCATGCACAAGACTGCATTGCCGAACGCCAAACCCGGGATCATGACACGTTTCCAAATCCCTGACACAAACTACCTGTTGTTGTTCCACAGTGCCCTATTTTTCATTACAGCTGCATTCCTGTTACCTTTAGTCATTACGTATACTTCGTACTCCCTTAGATACTCAGCACCATTGTTTATTCATGCGCGTAAATATTTTTATCCATCATTCCAAGCGAGACTTCTGGTATCTTATGCTCAATGCCTTCGTTATCATTAAAAATCATGATTTCCGATGTCACCCTACTGAACTTCGAATTTAACCTATCTCCCTGATTACCACAAGAGTATACCAATCCCTGCAGATTTTCCTTGTTGTCGGCCATTAATACTATATCATCTGCATGCATCAATGCTGTTAATGACTGTTCAACTTGTTTTCCTAGCTTGACAAAAGCGAGGCTCAAGCCAAGTCGACTGCCCTCTAATTTAGCTTCTAGTCCCTGTAGATACCATAAAAACAAAGGTGACAAGGGACATCCCTGTCGAAGCCCGCGTTGTATCTCTACAGGTTCAGATACCTGTTCTCATTTTATAACTAGCTTAATTGTTACTTTTATAGATATCCTTTAGAAGATTAGTCATTCCATCTTTCACATCTAGTGCGTCCAGTATTCCCCACAAGTCTTCTTGAATCGCACTATCGTAAGCTACTTTGATATCTAGAAATGCCAGTCACAGGGGCCTGTGTTCGTTTTCCGCTATTTCAATAGATTACATCAATGAAAACAGATTGTCCTCCAACCTCCTTTGTTTACGGAAACCATTTTGTAGTTCTGCCAGCACCCCCTCATTCTCTACCCATGTCTGTAGTCTTTACTACCTGCATTACCAGCCTGTACACTGCTGATGTCACTGTTATAGGACGGTAGTTGTTTATATCAGCTTTGCCCCCCTTTACTTTATAGATCATGCTCATTCTGCTAACTTTCCACCCATTGGGGGCTTCACCATCCATTATTGCTTTCTTCGCTGCCTCTTTTAATGTTTGCGTAGAGTTTGATTCTAGTTTATTAGCATAACTGGTTTGCCGTTAGGACCTGTTGATGTGCTATTAGGAACCCTGTTCTCTGTCCTCTCCCACTCTCGTTGTCCCAGTGGAGCCACTGCACTAATTGGATTCTCATCTCGTACAGGGCATGCAGCGCTTTCCTGGTGTGTAATTTTTTTTTCTGTCATCACTGTTTTTATATATTCTGTTGCCTCATCCCCGTCTAGCCTAACCCCATGAACTGTAAGTATAAACCTCTGTTTCGTGCTTTTCTTATTCAGAGAATTGAGATGGTTCCAAACTTACCAGTTGCCTTTTTATTTTTTTGTATTGTTTACTACCGCCATCTATTGGTACCCCTTTTTTCTAATCTTTTCACTGATCAGATTGAACACTTCCCTTTTGCAGCTAAAACGCTATTCCATTTTTTACATGATCTTTCGGTTCACCACTCTGTTGGGCATGCTGTTTTCCCTGGAGGCTTCCTGACGTCTTACTATGGCTCGCTTAACTTCCTCATCCCTCCAGGTCTTGGATTCGTGTCTGCTTTTCCCGGTTGATTTTACTCGCACCTTAGCAAGCTATAACTTAGACAACAGAGTTAGATTTGTGTACGTCAAATCTATTTTAGTATCCTCGGTGATTAGTTTCTCAATCTCCTCAGTTTCTATTTCTATTTGTCTTTCTGAATAAATAATACCATGTGGTTGCTCATAATGTCTCCTTCTCATTTAATTTTTTTTCTAAACCTTAGCTTGATACGTTTGTGATCACTGCCTAAGCTTCTGGACCCATACTCATCTACGTTCATCACCCTCAACCGATCATACATCCTATGTGACTTTATTGCGTTATCTATCGTCGACTACAGCCTTCTCACCTCCCATGTTATCTGTCCTTCGCACTTCTCCGTAATGTTGCAAATGACTAAATCATGCCTTTCACACATATCCATTAGCATTCTGCCTGTTGGGTAAGTACACCCATATATATCTCCTATGTGCGCATTCATATCGCCTGATATAACTGCACCATTTCTTGGTTTTCCTCTCTGGCTGTTACCCCTGTTCACAAGTATACAAAATCCAGGATCTGCCCTGCCACTTTCTCTTTTAGCCGTAAGTGTTTCCTGCACTCCTGCTTGACCCTTTGCCAGTCTGTGCTTTTATGGATAAATGCCCCAATACCACCCCCTTTCCTTCTGTTCTATTACAATATTCCCATGCGTAGTCCGGATTGCTAGGTGGTTGTTTGATGTCTGTAGGATGAGTTTCTACAAACCAACACACCATCACCTTCTCCTCCCTTAGCAGTTCTATCTCTCCCCATGATGATGTGTGGCGCTTTATGGCGGTAGGGCCAATTGATGGCCAAAGAGCGCCATTTCTATGAATTGAGATGTGGGCAATGATATGTTGCATGGCTGTATAGGGGCCTTAAAATTCCTCGCTCTAATGCGGGTAAAAACAAATATTAAAATCATGACAGTGGGGTGATATGGATAGTAAAAATTGGTGACAAATGGTTTTGACAATAAAAACGTGTAAAAATATTTGGCACTAGCACAAGTGCCTCATCAGCGCCCTTGTGTCCAAGGGCTGCGAGGCAAGTGCTTTTAAATGTAGTCACTGCAGCAGCAACCTCTCTTGAGAGGTCGCGCTACGCTTTGCCTAGGTATATGACATGATAAAAGCGAACATCTCTTAAAAAAGCTAGCACCGATTTATGAGAACAGTGGTTCCCTACCGACGAACATTGCAGGGTGTAAAGGTATATGTTGTCGGTAGGGTAATGGAAAGTGTTGTTTTCTTAGAGTGTCTAATTGTTTGCAGTGAATTAAAATGTGAAAAACTGTTAGTCCTTCCCCACATTTGTCACACAGTGGTGGATCGCCACCGGACAAAAGATATGAGTGTGTCGTGTATGTGTGTCCTATCCTGAGCCTCGTTAGTGTTACCTCTGTATGACGTGATTTTGATACTGGCGGCCAATGGCCAAGGTGTGGCTTAATAATATGTAGTTTGTTTTGTGTGTGTCTATCCCACTTGCTCTGCCAGTAGTCCCTGAGCTTTCGTTTGAGAGACGGCTTAAGATCAAGGGCCGGGATTGATATGGGTGTAGTGGCAGTGCTTTCGTGGACGAATGCAGCAAGCTGATCCGCCATCACGTTGCCTTGGATCTCACGGTGCCCTGGCACCCAGCACACTACAACATGTTGTTTGAGTGTGTAGAGTGTGCATAAAATAGAGTAAAGTGAGACGAGGACAGGGTTTTTTGTTTTGTAAGAGTATGCAGAGCCGTTACCATACTGAGAGAGTCCGTATAAATTACTGCTTGCAATAGTTGTAGTTGTTTCATGTGTTTAGCGGCCACAAGTATCGCTTAGGCTTCCGCTGTGAAGATACTTGGGCCAGCATCAGAAAAGGATGGGCCGACAGCAGCGTAGGACACAGAGGAGTTAGACTTGGAGGCATCTGTAAAGAACTCAGGACGTGTGTATTTGTGTTGAAGTTCCAGGAAGTATGTTCGGATATGGGCAATGGGCGCGTGTTTTTTAATTTCTCGGAAAGACACATCGCATTCCGCCACTGCCAAGGTGGCGGGTATGCTATAGGAGTCAATAAACTGTGTTCCAGTGAGACACCAGTTTCCTCAGATAGACCCGTG